ACCCAGGACCTCTAAAATTATGCTTGCCACTCTGCACGAAGCTCTGAGAGTCGGTTGAAATCACCGCATGTGTGTACAGCTGATTCTCAAGCCAGCATAGACTGCCTCCACTTCCATTCTCAAACCAGTCTTTATGGTGTGATATATGCAAGGCTTTGCTGCACTAGGCGACGTAATCACTAGATTAACTTACCAAAGAATACGTAGGTAGTCTAGAAATCACCACATTAAAAAAAAAAAAGAATATGTAGGCAGCCTAGAAATCACCACGTTAACTTATCAAAAAGTAAATAGGTAGTCTCGAAATCACCACATTAACTTACCAAAGAACATGGAGATAGTCTAGAAATCAAGAAATCATCAGCTATCACTAGATTAACTTACAAAAGAATATGCAGGTAGTCTACAAATCACCACATTAACTTACCAAAGAATGCGTAGGCAGTCTAGAAATCCCCACATTAAAAAAAAAACAAAGAATACGTAGGCAGTCTAGAAATCACGCTTTTTACCAAAAAATATGTAGGCAGTCAAGAAATCACTAGATAAATTCACTACAGAACATTTAGGCAGGCCTATCCCTGGATAGAAAAAAAAAACACACAAAAAACAGGGTAACTTACAAAACACATGAGGCCAAGAGTTAACCATGGATGAACTTCATTAGACAGACTAAAAAGACAGTGGATAGCATAGACAGACTAAAAAGACAGTGGATAGCATAGACAGACTAAAAAGACAGTGGATAGCATAGACAGACTAAAAAGACAGTGGATAGCATAGACAGACTAAAAAGACAGTGGATAGCATAGACAGACTAAAAAGACAGTGGATAGCATAGACAGACAGATCTAAACACCAGGTTTCAGTAACTAAAGAATGCCAATCAGAGAGAGAAATGGAGGTGGATGATATTTACAATAATGAACTCCAACAGCTCAGAAAAATAAAATAAAGAGAAGTGGGGTAATAATAACAACTGGAGGACACAGAAGCAGCTGCAAAATAAATATTACTGAAAAGCCAATAAAATCCCCCCCAAAAAGTATAATCTCACAACAGTAAATGCTACACATCAGGCACAAGAATCCAGTGACACAGAAAACTGCATAGTCTTTAACAACAATATATACCTTCTTGTTAAAGTCCATGCTGTGTGGTGTTGCTAGTCATGTCTATCCACAACCTTCTGTCTTCTTCACTTTCAGTCAACTTTGACACAGATGATCCTCCAACTTTGACACAGATGATCCTCCATGCAGTGATGTCAAACTGTCCAGCATCTTTTCTCTTGGTCTTCCTCTGCCTCTCCTTCCCTCCAGCTTTCCTACCGTCACGATATACTCAAGTTTTCTCCTTCCTATCACATGACCAAAGAATGTAGATTGTCTTTTTCTGATGTGGGCAATCAGTTCTCTTCGTAAGTGACTTTCTTCCAAGACATCTTATAACTCTTTTTTATCTGTCCAAGGTATTATTATCATTCATCTATAAAACCACATTTGCGCAGTTTCTAAATAAGTTTGCACAAATTTACCATATATATATATATATATATATATATATATATATATATATATATATATATATATATATATATATATATATATATATATATATACACACACACACCAACAAACAAAAACACACACCAAAAAAAGAAACTAAAAAATACACATGCAAACCTACACAAGCCATGAGGCCATCTTAACATCACATACTATATCTGTGACAGGGGACTCAAGTGACATATCAGCAAGCTGGAAGATGTTTTCGAGAAATTTCATTTGAAAGGATACAAGAAACCAAACAAGTGGATATCAGTGTTAGATGGAATGAATGCCAGCATCAGGAGTTGTGTCTGGTTGGTTAGACACTCATCAGGGATGTATCCCACGGAGCTGCACAAATGTGGTTTAGAGAAGACCTAGTTAGGCATACAAGAGATAGACACAATGATTAATGAAGATGTCCTTAAAGAGGCTCAGGCATAAGTAAAAGCCTGCATGTAGTTTGAAAAAAAAAATGTATGAACATTACATTGCAAAAACTAGTAGCATTAATTAGGGGGTGGGGGAGAGATGTTTTCACAGAGAAATAAACATTGGCCGCATCACAAGGTGAACACATCTAATCATTTTAGGAGAAGACAAAAACCAACACATTTATTTTCAAAGGACCCCAAGCAAGCCTATTTTACATTCGGCCCTTCCAACCACCCATCTTTTACATACCAACTGTAGTTTATCAACGGAACATGTTATATTCATATAACAATATGCATAATTTGAATATCAAGGAACAACCACAAAAGCAGGAATGTTAAATGCACGCACACATGCCCATTCACACATGAGTGCACATGCACACCACCCACACAAGGTTAGTTGTATATCCTTTACAGGATGCTGCAGAACCAACCCCAGCATTTATTGGCTATTGTGATTTTGCTAGGCATATTTTAGGATCAGTAGTTTGCCATTGCTTTCCAAACAGTCAGCTCTCAGTACCACTAAAGAAACCAAAACAAGACAAATCCTCAGTAGCTGGGATCGAACCCGGCTCCCCGGCAATAGAAAGAGTGTTCGCAATGCCTAAGCCACAGACATGACACATACATACATACATACATACATACATACATACATACATACATACATACATACATACATACATACATACATACATACATACATACATACATACATACATACATACATATACACATACATATACACATACATACATACATATACACATTCATATACACATACATATACACATACATACATACATATACACATACATATACACATACATACATATACACATACATATATACATAAATTTATACACACGTGCATGAATGAGCAGACGACTGGAGTATACTGTAACAACTGGTTTAATAAAATAAGCACAATGAGAAGACAAGCAGCAAAAGAAGTAATGAACATCATGTCATAGCAAGAGAAAACTGGAACACATTATCACAACTGGCATAATGACATAAGTAGAGAGACAAAATATTATTAGCTGCAACTCAATCAGCAAAGAACACTGTCTAATCATGTTAGAAGATGAGAATACTGGAACCATGTTAAGAGATGAGAAAACTGGAACTTACAACAGTAACTAGTATAATCAAATAAGCAATAGAGAGTACTTGCTGCATTACAAGAAGCAGTAAACTTTGTGTTACAAGAGGATAAAACTCAAATCATCATCATCATGTAAAACATCGATCTCATCACGGTTTGCCTGAAAGAAACTTGGTCTCTCATCAGCTCTCCCACCCCGTGTGCTTTCATATTCAAGGAGTCATGTATATCTTCGTGCTGGTCAGCCCTGCCCCTCCTTCCTATTACCATGCCTTCTGCTTTAACTTTTCCCAATCTGCCATGGTGCTTAATATGACCCAAATATTTCAGCTTCTAAGACAAGATACTGTTTATTAGCTAATCTTCCTGGAACTGTAATACATTGTGATAGCTGAAACAGTGATACCTGGAGTCACATAAGCCTCTAGTCATGAACAAGTCGGCCTAAGAACACAATGTTGACTCAACTGGCACAACAATGCCTCGGCTCATGAACACAATGTTGAATCAACCTGCAAAACAATGCCTCGGCTCATGAACACAATGTTGACTCAACCCGCACAACAATGCTTCGGCTCATGAACACAATGTTGACTCAACCCGCACAACAATGCCTTGGCTCATGAACACAATGTCGACTCAACACGCAAAACAATGCCTGGGCTCATGAACACAATATCGACTTAACCTGAAAAACAATGCCTCGGCTCATGAACACAAAGTTGACTCAACACGCAAAACAATGCCTATGAAAGAACAAACAGGGTTTTGACGCCATGTTTTCAGCTAATAAACAGCACAAGTCTCAGATGTGCGTGTTGTAAATGTTTGTTGTGCACTGCTCTTGTAAAAAAAGCCTAAGTGTATTACTGCATTAAAAAAAGTCTAATAATTACTAACCATTAGAATGATGTTCCTGTTTCTGATCTTGCCAAGCAGTTAAACAAGAAAAATGCTGCCCTTGCCTAAACTATTCTATGTTACTCAACTATTTGAGTCGACCGGTTCACTAGCTCAGTTGGTTAAACCTCACTGCGCTGCGCAAACCGGCAGTTTTGAATAGTACTTCCCACGGGTGTGTTGGGAAATGAACAGGTGAACAGACTGGCTGGCTCTGCACAACTTGGTGGAGTACTGATGCATGATAAGGCAGACCTCATCGGAGCCTTGTGTGAGAGCAGATGGATCACCAGTCTGGTGAGATTGATGCAGCGGGGAGTAATGAGGGGTTCTGGCCGATGCTCGAGGCTCAGAGGAAAAGTGAGACAGATGTTTAATCAGAATTCTTCAGTGTCAGTTAGGTCTAGTGTGATTCCCTTATTATCTGGGAAAATGAGCCATAAAATTACGTGCAAACTGAATGTTATAAAGTTTTGTGAAAATACTAACTGGTTTCGGAAGTCACTTTTCTTTACCAAAAAAGTTTCTCTGTTATGATGTTGTGAAAGCTTTTCTGAAACAAGATCTAATGCACAGAATGTGTTTTATTTCATTTTTACATTACTAAATGGTTCTTGTTCATTTGTGATTTATTTTGGATATATTTTGGATATAATTTATCGAGTTTTTATTGAGAGCCATGGTGGTAAGTGGTCAAATTATAATTTCTTTACTAATTTCTCTAAACTTACAATCTGTTAATTTATTAATAACTACTAAGACAATTTATTTCTGTAGCAGTATTCTAATATTATTTCTCAGCAATCTCTGGTTCCTTAGGTGTATAATATGTGTATGTTGTACGGCAGTTGAATTAGCATAGTCTGTTTTAATGTGTTACACTTGTGATTTGTCAAAATTGCATTATCACCCCTTGGGCCTCTGATGCTAAATACCTGGGACTCAAAAGAGTTAAATAGACTTGACGAGTAAGTAACAGTCACTAAACAAAACAGTTCTTACCAAAGTAATCTCCCGCTGCCAGGTGATCCATTTCATCCTCTAGCTGCTGTGTCAAAGCTGCCAGCTTTTTCTCTGCATCGGACGGGCCTTTACTTTTTGGAGGAGTCACCTGAAAAGCCAGGTGTGATTTGATCCCTGGTGGTTTAGCTGCTGTGGACACTGACCCTGTCTGAACTTGTATGCCCTGGACTGGAGCCACCAGCCTGACGTTTGATTTGTGTGGGTGAGACGACAGTTGGATGGAGGATTTAACCGAGGTCTGAACGTCGTGAGGTCCATGATATGGTGGAGGGGGTTCCACATCCCCTGTGGTATGAGAAGCTAAAGGTTCACTGGGGCTTTGAGCCAATGCAGAGTTGTTAATGCTCAAATCCCTTTCCAACTGCTGTGTCAAAGCAGCAACTGTCTTCTCTGCATCTGAATTTGATCTGTTGATGTGTGAATTTAATGGTCCTCTGACAGAAACAGAAGGGGCTGAGTTTTGAATATCCACATTGGTTTGGTTGTTTATACGTGTGCCTGTATTTGAAGCAAGCACCACCTGGACTCCATCATTTGTTGGTGGATTTATTCCTTGATCATTCACACTGGTTGCATAAGTTGATGTATGAACTTTCACAGCAGACTGTGGTGGTAGAGTTCTTTGACGAGGATCTATGTAAACAGGATGAGCTATCTGAATTGGTATCCCCCCGTGACCGCCCAACACTCTTGAGCTTGAATAGCCATCATCTGAAGTGACAGTATCAGATCCTCTGGGAGGACCTGACCTGAAGAAAATGGAACTGCTCTGACTACGACCAGGAGATTCCCCGCCAATTTCAACACCCAATCGAGGGCTTGCATAGTACAAGTTACCCCCTGCCTGTTGTCCAGAACTGACCATAGGTTGGTACTGAACGCTGATCTGGTGCGACCTTCCTACGTTGCTGTTATGAGCACCAGAATTTGTGAAAGATATTCGTGAACTCGGGTGTGGCCCCATGCCAATCAAAACATGTCTGCTGTCAGACCCGGTAACGATACCCGATGGAGAGGCAGCCCTCCCACCCTGCCAGTTAACTTGTCCCGTTGGATAATGCGTCGAAATCGTAAGTCCAACATTCCCTCCTACTCCAGACAACGGTATGGGTGGAGGTTTTGCATCTCTGACACTAATACTACTAACGAAAGTGGATTTATGATCCGAAATATCTCGTACACCCCCGCTCATTGTTCCACCCGGGTAATCCGCTGCAGAATTATTTATATCCCTCGACCGATTCCCTTCCGAATTCACACCACCGAACGCGTAAGCACCACTTTCCTGGCGATTAAACTTACCACCAGGTAATATATTTTGATAAATTACCTTCTCACCTCCTTTAGAATCGGGTAAATCAGAAGATTTCGAATTCACAACAAGAACAACATCATCCCGCCGTCTGCTGCTGTCTGTCCCGGCGCCTCCTTGTCGATCGACAGCCCCTGCTCCTGCACTGAACCTAGTTACGCTGTAAGTATGGTCCCCGTCGCTGAAAACATTCACATCTTTGTTGATCCTTCCACCGTAAACGGCCATAGCCCGCGTTAGGTGCGGTTGTTCGGACTGAAGCCAAGAAGAAACAAAGTTGTTTTGCTGCAGAAACTAGACCTTAGTCCCTGGGCCCTGCTTGAGTCTCCCTCCCTGGAAACCACAGCCGCGCAAGGATATCCCAGGGCGACCGAAGTTGGTACTGCTGTATACATTTGGTACAATTTTGCCTTGTCGAGCAAAATTTTATTGTTTGTACCACTCCAATGATTTGAAACGTTTTGGAATTTTTTTTACTGTGTTTAACTTTCTAGACATCGATTAGGATTGTATGATATACAAGCCCCATTCTTAAGCAGCTGCAGAAAAACTTCTCTTTCTGCTTTAACAATAAAACGATCGTTCTTTGAAGACTTAACAATAAATTAATTGATGAGTTTAAAGTTATTGCGCCAGATCAATAACTGCCCCAATAACTACTTTCACAAACAGAGTGAAAGAAATTGATTCATCAATTATGTTATAGAAAAAGGATTTCAGTTATAACACATTATATAAGCCATATATATATATATATATATATATATATATATATATATATATATATATATATATATATATACACCTGGCGTAGGCTCGTATGCATCTGCACAGATAACGATCCCTGGTTGCCTGGAACAGCACGCTTGATATCCCTCTATGCCATCGTTTCAGCCTATCAAGTACCATCTCTCTTGGGCTGCCTCTACCCTCTTTCCACTGATCTTTCCAGTAGTCACGATGTTTTCCGATGTCTCATTGCATGGCTGAAAAACAGTTTTTGCCTCCTTTTTATTATTGTATTTAGAGATTTACTCTCATCAGCTTTTTTTTCAAACAATCGATGTTAGTTACTCTGGCCGTCCAAGGTATTCGTAACATTCGTCTCAGAAACCACATTTCTGTTGCTTCCAAATTCTTCTTAATTTGTTTACTAATATTCCAAGATTTGCTGCCATACAGCAGAACAGGTTCTTTGTAACATTTTAGTACTCTTAAATATATGTATATGTGTGTGTGTGTCTGTGTGTGTGTGTCTGTGTGTGTGTGTGTGTTCACTGACATTTTAACTGGTTTTTTTTTTTAAATAAAAAATGTAACAGTAAGTACTGTGTTTTGATTTTTTTTTCAAAAATATTTGGTGCTGCTCCTAAAACAATTTCGACAGCCCTGATTCAAACCGTTGATCCGACCTATTTATGCCATATTTTAAACTTATCCACTGATTTATCTAGTACCAGTACCACAATCATTTTTCATCTTTCTGTACCAAGCAGCTCATCCTACGTTAATCAGGTGTTATGGAGAAAGTCAATTTTTCTAAACGTAACCAGTCCCACGATATTATCACCAATAAAATAGTGCATACGAATTGTTATGTCAGTTCACTTTGGCATATGTTATCTTAACTTCTCTCCCATAAACATGACTTCTATGAACTGGAACACATAGAAAATTCCCTAGTGGGGACCCCGTGTGGTTGATGGACCCATTATGGGGTGGACAGTAACATGCAAATCGTTTTATTTTTAAAGCTACTAAATAAGGAAGGAGACGAAGAAAAAGAGGAAGATGAAGATGAAGAAGAATAGGATGAAGAAGACGATAAGAAGAGGGAGGAGGAAAACGAAAAAGAGTAGGCGGATGACGTTGAAGGAGAACTCAATGGAATAGAATGAGTTGATATAGTTAGTGAATGGGACTGGGGGCAAAAATATTATGTTCTGCCTACTGACGATGGAGACTAGCGACTTACAGGAATGTCTAAGTGGTGTGTTGTTTCTTAACCCATCCGTTAAATTCAGGATCTATACTTTACGTCGATCTTATCGTCATAGCATTGCTATACCACTTAAAATCCCTTTGAGGTCAGGTGTAAGAAAGTACGAGCAAGAGATTGCTGGATCACCATCGTCAGTCAGTAGGTCTTTTACAGACTTCTTCTTCTGCTTTCGTTCGCTTGAAATAAATTATCTGTATATGAAATGTTGTCTCTAGTAGGAACTTCAACTGTCTTTTGTAATTCACTCAGCGACCCGTAAAGTTTGACTTGCTCCAGTGTCTCTCTTGGACAAAAGATTGTCCTTGATATGTTGTATCTGGGACAGTCTTGTAGGATATGATCTGTTGTCTCAGGTGCCAATCCACATGTGCTCATGGCTGATTCGCAGATTTTAAATTTTGTGTACATGTGGCTGCGAAGTCGATTGTGTCCTGTTCTAAGGCGTAGAATAAGAAATTGCCCTGGTCTGTCCATAAAATGGTAATCGTCTTGTGCCGGTTTTTGTGGCTTTCTGATTGATTTGATTATTCTCTTCTTTTACTGATAAGAGACTGTTATGCCAGGTTGTTCTTCATTTGCACATTCCTTAGCTAGTTTATCAGCTCTTTCATTTTCGGAAACTCCAGAGGGATGGTATCCATTGTATAGTAACCTTTCACTGACTGCTTTTACAGACCCTTTCGCTCTCTTTACGGCACAACTGAAAGTCTCTGTCTCTAGCCAGTTCTCCAGCCCTATGTGCTTTCATAGCCTATGCATCATCAATGTCTCGTATTCACCTGCTGATGTCGGTTTCTGTCGTATTTTGCAAAAACTGCACCCTCCATCACCATTTTCTAGATCAGTCTCTCTCAACTTTTTAATGCCGTGACCCTTTAATACAGTTCCCTCATGTTGTTTCGACCCTTTAATACAGTTCCTTCGTGTTGTTGCGACCCTTTAATACAGTTCCTTCGTGTGGTTGCGACCCTTTAATACAGTTTCTTCGTGTTGTTGCGACCCTTTAATACAGTTCCTTCGTGTTGTTGCGACCCTTTAATACAGTTCCCTCATGTTGTTGCGACCCTTTAATACAGTTCCCTCGTGTTGTTGCGACCCTTTAATACAGTACCTTCGTGTTGTTGCGACCCTTTAATACAGTTCCCTCATGTTGTTTCGACCCTTTAATACAGTTTCCTCATGTTGTTGCGACCCTTTAATACAGTTCCTTCGTGTTGTTGCGACCCTTTAATACAGTTCCCTCGTGTTGTTGTGACCATTTTATACAGTTCCCTCGTGTTGTTGCGACTATTTAATACAGTTCCCTCATGTTGTTGCGACCCTTTAATACAGTTCCTCGTGTTGTGGCGACCCTTTAATACAGTTTCCTCATGTTGTTGCGACCCTTTTATACAGTTCCCTCGTGTTGTTGCGACCCTTTATTACAGTTCCCTTGTGTTGTTGCGACCTTTTGATACAGTTCCCTAATGATATGCGACCCCCAAACAATTATTTCCCTTGATAACTTCAATAAATATGTGTTTTTCCGATGGTATTAGGCGACCCATGTGAAAGGGTCGTTCTATCCACACAAAAAAGGGTCGCGACCGGCATGTTGAGAACCGCTGCTCTAGTGGTTCCCTTTTAATTCTTTCACTATATTTGAGAGCTACCCATGACTCTGGTTGGTGGTCACTAGGTTTGTGCAGTTCACAACGGTGCGATTGTTTTTGTAAATGTTTAACATACTTTTAATCATTGTATCGCTCGCATTCTCTTCTAGCCGCCCCTTTCCTCTTTTCTACATCAATGTGGCTGAATCTGAATACGTCAGTTAAGTGATTTAGTGTATTCGTTTACTTTTGTTTGATTTATGAATGTGCTGACTGACGAAAGCTCTATAGTCTTAAAGTTCATGTTTTGTGTGTGTTTATTATTTTGTAAAGCTCGCTAATCCACTTTTCGTTCGGCTTTCCACGGTACGATTATGAACCACTGTTTTTCCAGCGCTTAAGTCATAGGCAATTTGTAGGGGTTCGCCTGAGATGTTAATATATCTCTTAAAACAGAAACAGGGTATCCCATAAAGTTCAATAGTCTATAGTTACTTCCATAATGAATACATGATCAGCTGAAATAAGTGTGATAGGATGGAAACTTACCGTTTAGCAGCTCAACGATTTGATTTAATCTGGTTTAAAAATTACCAAGGGGTCATAGGAGCAGCTTTTAGTCTTAGACAGTAAAATGGGGAAAATCTGGCCACCCTGTATAAATAGTCAAAACTCATTCAGTATTCTCCTATCTGGCTGTCGCTCTATGGTTAGGCGCAGTGTTCGCCCAGGTTTACTGCACTTAGTCTCAACGCACAGGTGTGTCAGATCGGACCGGCTCAGCGACGCTAGACTAGCTCGTGTTCTCGATAATGGTAAGCTTATTTTAGTTAGATGGTGTTAGAATTGATTTCCATTTTGTATTCTCGCTAGGAGGTAGCTTGATGGTAGGTTGCTATAAGAGATTTGTTGGCATATTGACGCTTAACGTACATGTTAAATATGTTTCGGTTTTTGCCATTGTTGAGGTAATCTTGCCGAGCGTATGGTGTAATTACCATAGTTACTTGTTAGCTAGAGATAGTCAGTATTTTAGATTCTGGTCGAGCACGTTGGTTGTTGTTAATGTTATTTGCGGACCACGCTAATGCTATGTTAAGTGAAATAAACAGCTGTTTATTGTGATTATAATTCATTTGCTTGATGTAATTTAGGATCTGTAGTTAGTGGTTCGACGAAAGGTGTGTGTATCCATGTAGTTAGGTTGTTGTCTTGTAACTCACCATATAGATATTCATAGCTGGGGTCTCAGTGAAATATTCTAGGATCTCTGCGCAGAAGAACCCCTGTCTTTTCTTAACTTTCCTGTTTTTGTTATTTAGTGGGGAACTATTACTTTTTTTTTTCTAATCACAATTCTCCTTTTTCTCTCCCTTCTTCTCCTGTGTTTTTTCTTCCTTTTTCCTTCCTGCTAGCACAAATGGCCCCACGTTGGGCCATGATGTATGTATGTATGTATGTATGTATGTATGTATGTATGTATGTATGTATGTATGTATGTATGTATGTATGTATGTATGTATGTATGTATGTATGTATGTATGTATGTATGTATGTATGTATGTATGTATGTATGTATGTATGTATGTATGTATGTATGTATGTATGTATGTATGTATGTATGTATGTATGTA